CATTGGGGACACCCACTTTTACGACCCATTGTCTCGGTAGTTCTTTATGGCTAGGGATTATAAACGGAACCCTAACGTATAGCTATTGGATAGTGCTACAACGTGAGGGTAAAGAATTTCTGGGGTAAGCATTCTTAACTGCCGGAAATTTCGTCCGTAACACGGAAAAAAAGTCAAATTTGATGAAATACGCATTGGGGTCACCAACTTTCCAACCCATTGCCTTGGCAGTCCTTGGCAGTTCTGTATGGCTAGGGATTATAGACTCTACTTTAATAAATAGCTATTGGATAGGACTACAACGGGAGGGTAAAGAATTTCTGGGGTAAGCATTCCAAAAGGCCGAAAATGTCGTCCGTAACACGGAAAAAAAGTCAAATTTGATAAAATACGCATTGGGGTCACCAACTTTCCAACACATTGCCTTGGCAGTCCTTGGCAGTTCTGTATGGCTAGGGATTATAGACTCTACTTTAACAAATAGCTATTGGATAGTACTACAACGGGAGGGAAACGAATTTCTGGTGTAAGCATTCCAAAAGGCCGAAAATGTCGTCCGAAACATGGAAATAAAGCCAAATTCGATCAAATACGCATTGGGGACACCCACTTTTACGACCCATTGTCTCGGTAGTTCTTTATGGCTAGGGATTATAAACGGAACCCTAACGTATAGCTATTGGATAGTGCTACAACGTGAGGGTAAAGAATTTCTGGGGTAAGCATTCTTAAAGGCCGGAAATTTCCACCGTAACACGGAAAAAATGTCAAATTTGATAAAATACGCATTGGGGTCACCAACTTTCCAACCCATTGCCTCGGCAGTTCTGTATGGCTAGGGATTATAGACTCTACTTTAGTAAATTGCTACTGGATAGTACTACAACGTGAGGGTAAAGAATTACTGGGGTAAGCATTCTTAAAGGCCGGAAATTTCGTCCGTAACATGGAAATAAAGCCAAATTCGATAAAATACGCATTGGGGACACCCACTTTTACGACCCATTGTCTCGGTAGTTCTTTATGGCTAGGGATTATAAACGGAACCCTAACGTATAGCTATTGGATAGTACTACAACGTGAGGGTAGAGAATTTCTGGGGTAAGCATTCTTAAAGGCCGGAAATTTCGTCCGTAACACGGAAAAAAAGTCAAATTTGATAAAATACGCATTGGGGTCACCAACTTTCCAACACATTGCCTTGGCAGTCCTTGGCAGTTTTGTATGGCTAGGGATTATAGACTCTACTTTAATAAATAGCTATTGGATAGTACTACAACGGGAGGGTAAAGAATTTCTGGGGTAAGCATTCCAGAAGGCCGAAAATGTCGTCCGAAACATGGAAATAAAGCCAAATTCGATCAAATACGCATTGGGGACACATTTTTTCAAAGATTCATTATTTGTTATCATAGCAATCGAAGTGGATGACTGAGCATTATCCATCTGCAAGCTAACATCATGCAACGTCAACTTCACATCATGTACTTTGAACTCAACGTAACGTGTGTTTGGCATATCATCACAACATTGTGACTTATCATTATATTATCACAACTAAAGCACTTGTCATTGCAAGTCAACATTGCGCAGATTCAACTTAGCATATTGTAATTTAGAGTTAGGATTTTGATGACTCAATTCAACATCACGCGGTCTTAAGTTTACATTTTAAGCTGCAGCATAATGTATTGTAAATCTCTAATATGTGACAGCTGAGGCTTTCCATAGTATCACGCCTGGAAATCTGGCGTAAACCAGGCGTAAGTGATAGTTACGTGTCTAGATCTAGGCGTAATGGAGCAGGAAACGTAAATTTGTAGCATTTACAGGCGTAGAAAAAAGTGGTAAACCTGGCATAAATTGAAATAAGCCAGGCGTAAATTTTCCTACGGGCGCAAAACTGTTGGAAGGACCGCTAAATCATAATACCCATAATGCTTTGTTTAAAGGATCGTGGGAAATTTTTTCAAAATTTGGCTCTCTGGTATTAGCTTGCAAGAGTTGGACATATGGCAGCTTCATATATTCAGGGGAAATTAGCTTTTTTGTGCTTTTTGAAAGAACTTGAAATTGTAATTATGGAATCAAATTGATGAATGAAAATTGTGAAATGAAAGGAAAGTAGTATACATGGCCATGGTAAATAATAATTATGTGAGTAACTAAGTTATTATTTTTTAATTTTTTACCATTAATTTCAAATTCTGGAAACCCTCATCCTTGGATAATAACATTTATAAATCTTTCACAAGTTAAATTACAGTATTATCATTGATTTTTTTAGTTTAAATGACAATAATTTTCAAAACAACTTATTCAAAATGCTAGTTTTATTTCAAGAAGAACTAATTGTCATAATTCTTAATTAACCTTAAACTTATTTGAGCCAGTGTCCGTCTAATATTTATTAATTTATATTGCTTCTTCAATGGTTAATATTTCAAGTTTTATGTCAAACAGTGAGAACTTTAAGCAACCGTGAATACAAGTTTGTATCAAATACACACAGTACACAGCTAGGGTAATACACTGATTTAAATTAAGTGTAGTATTATGTAAGGACATAACGCCTGGTTTATTTATTGACCAGGCGTACTCATTTGCATATTACGCCTGATTTTCTGTCAACCAGGCGTACTCATTTAAATATTACGCCTAATTTTACGCCTGGTTGACGCCTGGACATGCATTCCTCAAACACTGCAATGACGCCAGGATAAAGTATGATTTCTACGCCTGGTTTCCGTGTCATTTACAGGCGTCACATTTCGTACAGGAACCTTTTCATTTGCTGTATTTCTAGTTTTCTTATTTTAGAACACATTTTTATATAAAACTGGTCTTGTACAAAATTTTAATACAATAAAGAGAAAAATACTTTATTTGTAGGTGTTTCTACTGAGATTTTAAAAGAAAACAAAATGTGATTCACGTTTGGTGTGTTTTCGCCAGCACCTGACCGTCAAAAATGCATCCTTTTGTGCACCAACTCATTGACGTCATTATATTTCAGAATACATAGTATCATTGGAGCCAAAGAAAAAGTATATACGATTTAAAAAAAAGGAAATGACTTCCCAGCTACATGCCAGGGCCTTTTATAGCTTGCTACATACGGAATGATTTTTGCTTGCTGTACGGTGACCATTATAATTGCAAACTTCTACCTGGAACTATTACACTTACATTATTGTAATAGTCCCAGCTTCTATTCTGGTGAAAAGTTTCTCATTGACAATCATACCACATCTTCTTATTTGTATGTATATATTTTTCAATTTTCTGAGCCGTTCAGATCTTTTCATTTTATAAAACGACAGTCTCTTTCATTAATATAATCCAATTTTGCAGAAGATCCATTGAAAATATATGAGTTTTACAAGTTTCTAAAAATCTACCTGTTTATTTTTAGAAACAGTTAGGCCTTTTCCTTTTCCCAGTTCACTTCCGAGAACAGTAATAGCCTGGAATACATTACCGAAATCGACAGTGAAAGCTCCAACTATATGGAAGCTTTCAAGACTGATTACATAGATGAAGGAATGTTTTTATCCTGCTCCAACTGTACAGCATGCACCATATTGTTTTTTTTATCTTTGGTCTTTTATTGTAAATAGACATTACCAGCACCTACGTAACGCACAAGTATTGAGTACTCATTACTGAGTTTTTTTAACTACTATATCAAAGAAGAAGAAGAAGAGTGTTGGCTTAAAAGACTTTTTTCTTCTTCGAATAAATATTAAATATGCTATCTGCAGAATGGTAGATACAATTCGGGAACATTCAGACTTTTTTAGATATACCTCCTTCTATCATCTAAAAATATTTTTTTCTCGTTTTCAGTCCTAACTATAAAGGTTGGAATTAGTGATTACTTATGAAGATAAATAAATCAAAAAAAATATACAGAATTTCTTGTCTTGGTGTCTTTCAATGTTAACGTTTAGGTCCAAGTTTTTTTTATTTCTTACAAACATATAATTCTTTAAAACTTGGTTGATTTTAATTAAATGACTAGCCTCGACTTTAAAATAAGAAGGAAATCCAATGAATAAATAATTCTTAAGTTTAAATGAATCCAACCGTAAGATAGATGTCCATTTAAGTCTTTAAATCTACCCATTCAGTCCTGAGTTGTGGCATCAGAAAAATTATTTTCCCGTCTAGATGAATGGAATTTATAACTTTTTAATTTGAAGTTTATCTATTGAAAAGTGAAAAATATAAATAAAACTACCATCTTTGTAGTTTCTGGTCCGTCCAAGTTTACGTAAATTTTAAGCATGTGATGATTAAACATAATTTGTTCAATGAAAATTCGAAAATCTTATTTCATGTAGGAGAAAATTTTTCAAATTTTATTTGAGACAATTATTTTAAAAATATGAGAAGAAAAAAATCAAAATTGAAAAATAATATTTCAAAACATGAGTAAAATATTTCTAATTTTATCTACATGTATGAAAAAACATTTCAAATTTAATTCAGAAAACACAAATGTTATTGAATAAAACTTAAATTTGAAGGAGTGAAAAAGAAATTGCAATTTAAAAATTGCCCTGTATATTTTCAGGTCCATTCTGGTCTTTGGTGCTACCATTATCAGTATTCGAGTTAACTATAGTTTCAAAAGCTTCTAAATGCACACAAATGTGCACATGATTTTTTTTTTTGAAATAAATATGGTTAAAATATCATTCCAGAACATGAATGTTGCACTGAAACGTTTTATTGGAGTATATTTGGGTATATTGGGGTAAAAAGTCATTTTGTGATCGTAAGCGGCTGACAAGAACGGAACAAGTTTCAATGAAAAAAGTGATTTAAAATTAAATATATTTATAAAATAAACTATTGTTGGTGTTAAAATAACATGGAAATGCCAAAAATGTTATTATTATTCAATAATATTTTGTTGAAACTGTTTTTTGATGTATATTGGGGTATATTGGGGTATGTTGGGGTATATTGGGGTAAAAAGTCGCACCCGAATTCGAAGGAGACTGCAAGCGTATTTCAATCTTTAGATAACCCAAAACTTGTCAGTGAAACTGCATAGCATCTTTCTGAACAAGAGAAAGAATCTAATGAGTCGAAAAAGACATAAGAGTGCTGGTAGAAACTCAGAACAATCCGATTCTAGCATGGATTCAGATTCAGATGAATCCGACGTTGAAGATTACATGTACAGGACATTGCCTACAGCGACAAGTGAATGGGACATATTATGCCTCCAATCTATTGACATTCATTACCATAATCATTTTCATAATTTGCCGTCTGACATTTTAGATATTGTTCATGCGAAAACGGGAATGTTTGGGCCGTTGACAGAAAAACAAGAAGAATTTACGAAAAATTTACAAAACTCTATCAGTTTCAGTTGCTCAATCACTGAAATAATTGGGATTGATTTAGACCTGAATGTTGAAACATTTATTCCAGAAATGGAAAAGGATATTGAGAAAAACGGAAGTTCATCAAGGTACACATTTAGAATGCCAGACAGGTGCCGAACCATACATGTAGCTCTGAGGTCCTTGTAATATTTTTAGAAATTTTGCAGACCATACATTGACAAGCTATGCATGGGGATAAACAATGAAAGATTTTGGAAATAAATGCGACCTGAACCTGGGTCACAATTTCAAAAGTTTTGAAATAGGTAAAATCCGTAGCTCTATGGTCCACAAATTGTCAAAAGATATCATAAGGACATAAGAGCTACGGTTCCGCAGCTAGTTGCCCCCAAGACAACTCACCCACTCTAATTTTGTACAAGACAACTGGCCCGCTATTTATTGGTTTTTGCATAAAAATCATATGTCAGAGCTTAGTCCCTTTGTTTTGTATAAGAGTCACATTTGAATTATATACATATATATATAAATAAGTAGTTACTGTAAAGATTTCAAGTTGTTTTATGCAACAATCTTGAACAGAAAATTCCAGAAAAATCATATAAGTCCTGGTCAACTACATATACATGTAAGTCATGTAAGTGTAGATTTTCAAGAGTATTCTATTAAGGTAGGTACAAAACATACAAAAGCCTGTTAAACATGTTAAAACCAATTCTAAGCTATTAAACTTCAAGATGTGTAACATGCATGTAATTCAGTGGTTGTCCTTTGTTGCTGTATATATCATATCTGTTTTTCGTTCATTATTTTGTACTTAATTAGGCCGTTAGGTTTCTCCTTTGAATTGATTACATTTGTCATTTTGGGGCCTTTTTTAGCTGACTAAGCGGTATGGGTTTTACTCATTGTTGAAGGCCGTACGGTGACCTATACAGATATATGTACACTCGTATGTAGTTGTTAATGTCTTTGTCATTTGGTCTGTTGTGGAGAGTTCTCTCATTGGCAATCATACCGCATCTTCTTATTTTTATATGACATGAGTGAGAAGAAAAATTGGGGAAAAAGGAAATTGGTGTCAGCTAATTGACCAAAAACAATGATACATGTATTGTTTGAACAAAACATTTTCTAAATTTGCTTTTTACAGGTTTATATGGTTTATGTAAAAAAAACTTGTCTGTTCCTTTTACTGCAGACAAAGACAATATACTAGAAATTTTTATATACATATATGTACTTCAATATGTTGAAGATGTACAGTCAGGGGTACTACTGGTACAAGTAATCCTTATTTACTTGAAGAAATAAATAATAATATACTTATATAAGTAAATTATAATGTTTGAATAATCTCCCATTAATTTTCTCAAAAATTTTTTTTACAATCCTGAAAACATTCTCAAGTTTTGAGATGTAAAAACATGCCTTTAACAATTTTTCTCAGGTTAGCTCATAATTTTTTATTAGAGTTCAATGTTTCATCTCATTAATTCAACAAAGAAACTAATTGCGCAAAGATCTTAAGTATTTGTGCAAGGCCTTCAAAAATTGCCCCTTTAGGGCTTGTAAATGAGCAGTGTTAAGAAATAACAGACAAATGAGATTTTCATTGTCCATGAAATTACACTTAAATGATGAGTAAAGACATCTGCAAAGGACAGACAATTAAAAGTTCTATTAGTCAGAGCGAAGAAGTCCTAAGAAATTCAAGAAAAGAAGATAGGATGACTTTTTTACTTGTATAAGTAAAAAAATCTGCATGTCTAAGGGACATAACTAAGCCAAAAAATAATTTACCTATACAAGTAAATGAAATACACTTGTATAAGTATCCTAAAAAATTATTTATATAAGTATATTAATATTTACTTCTTCAAGTAAATAAAAATTACTTGTACAAGTAGTACCCCTGACTAATGTAAGTACTGTATCATTTACATGTACAGGTACTTGTAAACATGATTTTTCATTTCCTATTGTTAATTATCTATTTTTAGATGGTGATGTTCCCTTGTCACCATCTTATGGTGTTTATATATCTCGACTTGTACGATTCGGTCGTGTATGTAACAACGTATTAGATTTTAGCGAGAGAAATTTATGTATTACTGAAAAATTATTACACCAGGGTTTTCGATATCATAAACTAGTCAAAACATTTACTAAATTTTATCATCAGTATAAGGACATCATTCGTAAATATAACTCAACATGCAGACATCTTATACGCTCGGGTATTTCACATCCAATCTTTTATCATGTTTATGGTAATATTCTTTACAAAGCACAAAAATGTCAGTATTCACCTCAAAAGCTTACAAAACCTTTAAACAGACTTATTAAGAAGGGATATAGTTACGATACTGTTGTCAGGTCATTAAAGATTGCATATTTTGGCTTTAATATTGATTCACTTATAGGGTCTTTGCATCGGAATTAAACATATTTATTCTAAAACCAGTTGTTGGCATGACACGGGTTATGTTCTTCTCATATATTTTATGATGGTATAATACTAAACCCCTAACAGGAGGGATTGTGCCTGATATTCATATGATGAAGACATAATCTTTCAATCAGTTTAATTGAGGTCTGGAGCTGGCATGTCAGTAACTGCTAGTAGTCTGTTGTTATTTATGTATTATTGTCATTTTGTTTATTTTCTTTTGTTTCCTATTCTGACATCGGACTCGGACTTCTCTTAAACTGAGTTTTACTGTGCGTACTGTTGTACGTTTGTTTTTTCTACATTGGCTAGAGGTATAGGGGGAGGGTTGAGATCTCAAAAAACATGTTTACCCTACCGCATTTTTTGCGCCTGTCCCAAGTCAGGAGCCTCTGGCCTTTGTTAGTCTTGTATCATTTTTAATTTTAGTTTCTTGTGTAAAATTTGGAGTTTAGTATGACGTCCATTATCACTGAACTAGTATACATATTTGTTTAGGGGCCAGCTGAAGGACGCCTCCGGGTGCAGGAGTTTCTCGCTGCATTGAAGACCCATTGGTGGCCTTCGGCTGTTGTCTGCTCTATGGTCGGGTTGTTGTCTCTTTGACACATTCCCCATTTCCATTCTCAATTTTATGGTAAATATAAATTTGTTTCTCTTCAACGTGGTCAATGTTTGAATAGTCTCCCTTTACACATCTAAAATAATTGACTTAAACAAGCATTTTTTACAACCCATGAAATGCTAGAGCTAGTTTGTTAAAGGGAAAAAATCACCTAAAATATGTTTTCCCGGTTTGGTAAAGATTTCAAACTTTTATCAAAAGAACAAAACAAGGAAGTTTACCATGTTTATTATGCAAATACATGTACATATATTTCAGTTAAAGTGCACAAGGCCTTTAAAACTTATTCCCTAAACGCTTGTAAATAGGCAGTATTAGACAAAAGAAATTTTCATTGCCCATGAAATTGTTTTTGTCCCCCACGTAACGCGTTGCGGGGGACATTGAAATACCTGGCATCCGTCCCTGTGTCCGTCCGGTCTTGTTAGCACTCTCACAGGTACAATTCTTGCCAGATTTTTATAAAACTTATACTATAGGTTAATATCAGCAATATCTCGAACAAGTTCTGTAATGGTGGCTGATTGACTTTTTGTCGAGCCTTCGACTTTAGTCGAAAAAGCGAGACATAGCGATCCTACATTCCGTCGGCGTCGTCGTTGTCGTCGGCGGCGTCCACAAATATTCACTCTGTGGTTAAAGTTTTTGAAATTTTAATAACTTTCTTAAACTATCCTGGATTTCTACCAAACTTGGACAGAAGCTTGTTTATGATCATAAGATAGTATCCAGAAGTAAATTTTGTAAAAATAAAATTCCATTTTTTCCGTATTTTACTTATAAATGGACTTAGTTTTTCTGCCGGAAAATATTACATTCACTCTGTGGTTAAAGTTTTTAAAATTTTAATAACTTTCTTTAACTATCCTGGGTTTCTACCAAACTTGGACAGAAGCTTGTTTATGATCATAAGATAGTATCCAGAAGTAAATTTTGTAAAAAAAAAATCCATTTTTTCCTTATTTTACTTTTAAATGGACTTAGATTTTCTGCCAGGAAACAACACATTCACTCTGTGGTTAAAGTTTTTAAAATTTTAATAACTTTCTTTTACTATTTTGGATTTGTACCAAACTTGGACAGAAGCTTGTTTATGATCAAAAGCTAGTATCTAGAAGGAAATTTTGTAAAAAAATAATCCATTTTTTCCATATTTTACTTTTAATGGACTTAGATTTTCTGCCAGGAAACAACACATTCACTCTGTGGTTGAAGTTTTTAAAATTTTAATAACTTTCTTATTCTATTTTGGATTTGTACCAAACTTGGACAGAAGCTTGTTTATAATCAAATGCTAGTATCTAGAAGGAAATTTTGTTTTCTTCCAGTTAACATTACATTCAGTCTGCAGTTAAAGTTTTTAAACATTTATTAGATTCATAAACTATCCTGGATTTTTACCAAACTTGGACAGAAGCTTCTTACAATCAAAAGATAGTATCAAGAGGAATATTTTTATTGATTTACTTCCTCATTTTTGTTGCGCCTGCGATTAACAGAAAAAGTAGGCGAGACACTGGGTTCCGCGGAACCCTTTCGAATTTTTTTAAAAGAGTTATGCCCCTTGGAAATATTAAAATTATGGAAAATGGCCTTGTTAGCGCTCTCATGGGTACAATTCTTGCCAGATTTTTATAAAACTTATACTATCAAACTATAGGTTAATATCAGCAATATCTTGGACAAGTTCTATAATGGTGGCTGATCCACTTTTTTAAAAGAGTTATGCCCCTTGGAAATATTGAATTTATGGAAAATGGCCTCGTTAGCGATCTCACAGGTATAATTCTTGCCAGATTTTTATAAAACTTAAACTATAGGTTAATATCAGCAATATCTTGGACAAGTTCTACAATGCTGGCTGATCGACTTTTTTTTAAAGGAGTTATGCCCTTGGAAATATAAAATTTAGGGAAAATGACCTTGTTAGCGCTCTCACAGGTACAATTTTTGCCAGATTTTTTTAAAACTTATAGTATATTTTAATTTGTTTTAAAGATAAAAAAAAAAGGGTTTTCTAGTTATTGCCCTTGTACCTTGGATAGATAAAATATGTGCAACGCGGGGCACATTGGAACTCTTTTCTTTTATTAAAAGAGTTATGCCCCTAGGAAATATTATATTTATGGAAAATGGCCTGGTTAGCGCTACAAAAAAAAAGTGTTTTATTTAGTTATTGCCCTTGTTCCTTGGATAGATGAAATATGTGCAATGTGGGGGACATTGGAACTCTCTTCTTTTATTTAAAAATATTATAGAGATACAATTAAGCACTCTGTTGACATGTTTAGAGCAATGTAGTCAAGATAAGTTCATCATGTTCATGAAAAGAAGAAAATAATTAATATGGGAACTAAGGGAGATATATAATTCTACTCATCAATTATTAATTTATTTAAAAATAAGGATAATTTATTGCCAATGAGGCAAATATCCACCAGAGTTCAAATGAAATATAAGCAATTATAGGCTACCATATGGCCTTCAACAATGAGAAAAACCTAAATCCTATTGTCAGCTATAGATATAATGCCTTGACATGAAACATGTGAAACAAATAAAAAAAGAAAACTAACACTCAGCCTAATCTATATCATGTATATTACAACAATTTAGGAAAAAAAAAACCAAATATGACAGACATGAACCAAGTATATGAATAAGTATAACCCTTGACTATATTAGATTGGTTCGTAATCAACGTGATGAATAATAATCAGAATTGATTAAATATGTGCATAAACATGTTAAAGATTTGTTGTTCTCTAATTTTTGTGCTATTTTCACATTTTTTGATCGGTGTGAGAAAAACATTTCTCCTCACTAGTGAGATATCTGTTCTTGGCAAATAATTGGTCGAAATTTTATTATGACATCAAATTTTCTTGGTTTCTTCTGAACTTCCATGAAAAAAGGCGACCATGCCTGATGACGTCACATATAAAGAACACAACTGTCTGCAAATCTTCGAAAAAGGAAGGATAAACATCATTAGAGAAACAGATTCCACCACTATAACTTGTGTATTATGATATTTCTCCACTCTCAACAGTTAAATTATGATTATTTAAAAAGCTTGGCAAGCCTGGCACTTTCAATATTAAAATTTAACTGTCTCGAGTGGAGAAATATTGTAACACACTTGTTGCTGTGGTAAAATCTATATTTCCATTGAAATCTTAAATTGTTTTTGTCTGTTGTAGTGATCCTTTAACTGATGTGTCAACGGTTGTAGATGATTTCATCAATAGTACAATAATAATGATGAAATACCAGTCTTCATACCTGAAAACGATCCATAAATATGGGAAACAAAGCATACCACCTGTACCAAAGGATATTTTTGCAGACATTTTCAAAGCTTTCACGAAGATGTGTTGTCTTCTTCCTGTGTAAGTCTTAGTAACTCTAAGGCCAAATTTGTTTGATTATAAAGTACTTTTAATGGATTCTGATCCTACATGTACATACATGTATGTCATGTATGTCTTACTCACAAACAGTCCTAGAAAGTCCTGATTTAAAAAAACATGAAAAATAAGGAAAATTTCTGTCTTGATTTTTGGCTGTTTTCTTTTATCATTAATTACTTGTAGTGTTTGTCATGCTTATCCTACTAAATGTTTCACCAAATATGGCATAAGATAAAAGCTAAATTTGAAATCCAAAACGTACAAAAATGTATAGATGAAAATAAGGCACTTGATCGAAGATGGATGGATGGAAAGATTGGTTTTATGCCTAGTTGCAACTATTACATGCATTTTAGGGCAAGAACTTAGAACATGTTTATGTGATATATGTTAATGATTCCTACTAAGAATGTTGGTCTAGCATTAAGCACTCTGCATTTTGAATGCGATATATATTTTCAAATTCTAATGCAACATCGTATGTAAAGTTCATTTTGATTGGATAACGTCACCAATTTTTATGGCATCAATTCACCATTCATGCTATAAAAATGTATGTGCAAGTGCAAACAGCATATGACAGATATTAAATGTATGATTTAGCATTGTTTTTTGTCAGTTTTATTAGAATAGAGATAACAATATTGGATCTTTTTAACTCTGACAGCATTAACATGATCAAGTGGTGATTTGATGGTTGCAAATACTGGTTTTCTGGCTCTGCTAAAGCGTCAACAGTAAACTTAATTTGCGACCTCCATATCACCAATTGCTGCCATCAAAGCTTAAAATCCAATACAGCTATCTCTTCAATGTTATTGTCTGCAAGTCAACAAATTGACATACACAAAGAAACATCATTACAACTCTGAGCCAACCTGTTTTTTCTTTTACATGAAGATCAAAATATGACATGCTTAGCAGAAAAGCAGTGAATACAAATTGAAAGACTTCAGTTCAACTCTGCTTGATACCAGTATCTGTCAATTTTAGAACTAGCATGACAAGTAAAATAAATATGTATATATATATATTGCAGAACAGGGACAGACAGATCTTTATTTGATTTTTAACATGCAGGTTGACGGTCAGGCACAGCCTATCCACTTGTCAGACATGATAACAGTATCTTTTAATTTATTAACATGTGAAATGACATTAGAATTTCATGTTTTTCAGACCAGGCTCAGCATGGAGATCGATTATTAATATTCATCGAGTTGATGTCACGTCAGCCTCTGATGTTGTAATTATGACAAAGGATCATCTGCATAGTCAATTTCCAGAAACTTCATCTGTTGTGTCCATTGCAGAGGTAACATAATAACACTGCAACTTGTTTAGAATTCGTCTTTTGTACTTGCCTTCTGCCCCACTGAGGGGCAGATAACTCCTCCCGAATGAAAACGAACCATTGACTTAAAAAATACCCTTGTAGAGTAGGTTCAATTTTAATGATAAAAAAGAAATGACATGTTATAATCTATATGATAGACACAGGAGAATTTAAGAAGCCCATCCCCACTGTCTTGACAATGGACAAATGGAGTTGATAAAACAATGTGAGCTGTATAAATTAGGTAAATCCCATACATATTCTTTTATAATAGTAAAGTTATCTGGGATAGAGTAATCTCCACTTTATATATGGACCTTGTAAAAAATCAAATTATCCAAAATATGCTCTTTCATGTCTGTATTTATCATGTTTATTTATAACAGATGGTATTTTAAGAAAAAACAAATAGTTTTTGTCATTCAGATCAAAAGTATGGTTGACAGTTCTCTCTTGTTTGTCAAAGTTTGTATATTTTATTAAAGATCCAGACCGATTGTGTTTTGCTTTTTTATAATCCATGATGCATGACAAAAGACATCCCCATCTACAGTAAAAACTATTTCCAATTTTCTTTTAAGTAAAGTTAGTGTTTAGCATTTAAAGTGCTATCAAACTATTATTAATACTTTTATGAAACTCATTTCATTCTAGTTAGCAGAAAAATATGGCACTTTCACCATAATCATCATATAAACCTTAAGTCTTTTAAAAAATGCAACTAAAAAGTGTGAAGATTCAGTGTACATGTACATAATCTAAGGTCACACATTGCTGCAAACCTTAAAGAGTTTGAATATTCATACAGTCAGGGGTACTACTTGTCCAAGTAATCTTTATTTACTTGAAGAAGTAAATAATAATATACTTATATAAGTTAATTGATATATAATGTTTGAATAATCTCCCCTTAATTTTCTCAAAAACTTACTTGTATAAGTAATTTTTTTTATAATCCAACAAAAATTCTCAAGTTTTGAGATGTAAAAACATTCCTTTAACAATTTTTCTCAGGTAAACTCATAATTTTTTATTATAGTTCAATGTTTTATCACATTAACTCAACAAAAAAAACTGATTGCGCAAATATCTTAAGTATTAGCGCAAGACCTTCAAAAATTGTCCCTTTGGGGCTTGTAAATGAGCAGTGTTCTGAAGATAACAGACAAATGAGATTTTCATTGTCCATGAAATTACACTTACATGATTATTAAAGACATCTGCAAAGGACAGACAATTAAAAATTCTATTAGAGCTATTAAAGAACTCCTTAGAATTCAAGAAAAGAAGATAGTACGACTTTTTTACTTGTATAAGTAAAACAAATCTCAATGTCTAAGGGACATAACTAAGCCAAAAATTAAATAACTATACATGTACAAGTAAATAAAATATATGTATTCCTGAGAAAGGCTATATGTATTTCTGAGAAAAGCCTACATGAATGTACATGATGTATGTGTTGAGGGTTTTGAAACAGTGATTTTCCTAGTGCTCAGGGGAATGGGCTCAGAGCCCATGCATGCAATTGAAAATAAAAGTTCTTGAAATGTTGGCTTAGGGGAAATATATTAGTTACTTTTTACAGAGGGCACACAGCGTTAGTGGTGTGCAACTTGCTATGGGGGTTTGGGGACATGCCCCCCATGAAATAAAAAAAAAATTAGATGCAAAATCCTGCATTCTGACAGGGGTTAAAAAAATTTGTTACAGCTCACTAGCCTAGGACTTATTGGTAGCAGGATTTTACTAGCCCTGTTGAAAGAGCTGCTAGCCCATCAAAACTGACCTGCTAGCCCGAGTATACCTTACAAATTTAGAGTGGGTGTCCCTTGTTTTGAATGCGGCATTATACACGGTATTTGATAAAATAAATCAAATAAATTTTTGTTTTATTAATTATAACAAGGATCTCTAGACATCTTTTTGGATATCCCTTGTACTATGGGTTGTTAAATATTTTTGGGCACAGAAAACATGTTCATTGATATTGTCATGTTAAACCAGCACTACAAAAGTCTAAAAGTCTGAAAAGCATGAAAAGACCAGTTTTTGTCTTAATTTGCATGAACTTTTACTCGACATTCTCCAAAAGTATGACTTGTGTCTTAATTTTTCTTGACAAATTCTCATTTATATTAAATTTGTATGAAATTTACTCGACATATTCTCGACATTCTGAATATGGTCTTAAAATTTCTTGACAAATTCTTGACATTTGAATACTGTCTTGAAATTTCTCGACATTCTTATTTTTTCTCGGTATGGCTTGACATATTCTGAACATTTTGAATCGTGTCTTAAATTTACTTGACAGTTCTGAGTTTTACAAATCATGACCAATATTCATGATATAACTTTAATCTTTATTTCTCTTTATATGATATACTGTTGTTTCAAGTTACACTTCTTTACAACAAAAATAAAAGTTGGGCATGTAAAATAATTGAAAATTTGGGTATATAAATATTTTTACAAATGCAAATATGGCTATGAAATCTAAAGTATAAAATAATTCAAATGTGGGTGTGTTGATATAAAACAATTTCAATGCGGGTTTTTAAATAATTACAAATTTTGATTCCTAAATCTTATAAATTAAATGATTCAAACCAATCATACTGTAGACATATTTCATTCTACATTCATAATATTCAATGTTGATATGGTAAATAATTATTATACCAAAATGTGGTTTATATAAATAGCAAATTATGATGATATACAAATCATTCATTTAACAGAAGAAAAATTTGTGTAATGTCATCTGTTGGAATATATTAAGTATTACACATGGACAGGATGTTCCCCATAAAATTAAGGTATTCCACACCCCACAGTATACGCAACTGTCAAATAGAAGTTATTGCTTTACCTGTAATCAGCCATACAACTTATCAGTTGACCGACCATGCCACTACAATTTAAAAAGTTTGTTGATAGATGAAAATGAAAATCATCATTTTGATGAAAAAAAATTGAATTGAAATGGATTTTCTTCATCAAAATTATGAAATTAATTATTTTAGCATAAAAACAAATTGAATAATTCCCAAAGATTAAAAAAATATTATTATCTACTCCAGGAATAATAAAAAAAATGTATTTATAATGGGTCCCATCAATGATTTCTATAGAAATCATCGGTCTTATGAAATGGTTCTCAAACAGACATTCATAATATAGATCTAAACATTTTTTTCTTTTCAGGAAGGAGTTATCACAAATATTTATTTTTGATAAAAAATTATAAAATTCAACACTCAAATTTGAATAAAAAATGTTTTTGGGTTGTTCTAAAAAATGAATAAGGTTTTTGAATCAAGATGGGAACAAATTCTTTGACCTAAACGAAATCCCCCCCCCCCTCTTTTTTTAGCCACACAAACCCAAAAGATGAATTGTGGGGTCCAAAAGAGATACAAGACACCTATTTTAGTAAAGCAAATTTGACTGGCAGTTTTGCGAACGGCAAAAATCTAAATGCTGTTTGTCAATACCTTCGACTTATATTCCAAGTGAAAACAATTACTTAAATGTTTAATAAAAATAAATCAAAATTAAACTACATGGGGGATTATTCAGGGTATTCCAACTTAGTTGCACCAAAAGGGTATCTTACTATACCAAATTAATCCTTGATTCTTCAAAGTTTAGTTTAGCCATAATAAAAAGGAGTATATAACAGCAATAGAATGTAATAAACAGTGCAGAATAAGTCTGTTCACATTTCAGGCGAAATTTATACTGTTGAGATAGTGTCAAGACATATTTAAGACTGTCAAGAATGTGTCGAGACATATTCAGACATTATTTAGAATGTCAAGAATATGTCGAGACAAATTTCAGACATTATTAAGAATGTCAAGAATATGTCAAGACAGATCGAGACAAATTTAAGACAGTCAAGAATTGGTCGAGACTAATCCAGACTCTTATCAGATGATACAGGAAGTGTCGAGAAATTTTAAGACAATGTTCATACTGTCAAGACACTTGTCAAGAAAAATCAAGAACCTTATTAGACAAATTCATACTATGTCAAGAATTTTTAAAAATTATTCAGACAAATTAAGAATGTCGAGTAAAAATTCATGCAAATTCAGACAAAAACTGGTCTTTTCAGACTTTTTGACTTTTGTAGTGCAGTGGTTCAATTCGTATATTTGTTGTTCCCACATAGAAAGCAGACTTTTTATCAGCATGATCAGGAAAATCACGGCAATATTCACAAAACATCATCTCTTGTTTATCATCAGTAACAGTCGACCTTGCCCATGGGGAATCTTTCTGTCCATGACACTATAAATGTTTTTTTCCGCTTTTCCTGGTCGTATTTGGCATTTTTTTGGATAAATTTTCAGCCCCATTACCCCCTTCATCTACCGTTTTTCGTTTTGAAACTGACAAAGTTCCTGTGGTGGCCGTACTAAAATGTTTAGAAATAATTTGTGCATGGTTTCAAGCTCCAATTAACAGCTGTCCGACAAGACAGGTCAATATCGATCATTACATCATACACCCAAGTACCATTAATTGAAAATCTCGGCATAAGCAATGTACAATACCCCCTGTACTGAGAAATTGATATTGAAAGTACATGAAGTACGTGAATTGCGATCAGAACATGATACCGGTCCACCCTGGGTTAGTTGTTCTATTTTTAAAACATGTAAAAAATCGGTTCAAATTCTTGGAATCCCGGATGACGTACATAATTGAATCTCATTGGCTAAGATAGAATAGTGATGAGGGGATTTTCCACTTACTATTTTGGAAATGCCAAGAATTGTTTGTTACTAGTCCGTCGGGCATATTCGGTTACAAGTTTTAATTGCCCGAAGTGTAAAAGTCTAGTCCCGGGCGTCGGGCTAGTGGATTTTTTAACCCCTGATTCTGAGGAGGAATATCTGCATGAATTGCAAACATGGCAAACAAGATTCAAGAGATTTGTAAACAAGAAACCATGATATGACACCAACAAATTCTCGCAACTATCTCTACATATAATTGGGAATTTTAGAGCTGAAAAATGGTAAAAAAAGAGCATATTTCTCCTTGGGATTGGGGCCAAAATTCGGACCCAAAATGAGGATTGGATTAATTATTATCCCTGTGAAATGTCATGACTGTGGCCAAAACACTTGATTTGCCCGGTGTTAAAAAAGGCTGTTTGAACATATTGTGTTAGTGAACATTATGTGATTTTTGTGTCACTGTACAGTGTAGTCATGGATACCATATACTAGTACTACCTATAATATACAGTTCTGGTCTGTGTTACTGACCTCCCGTCCCGCCATTCAACTGCCCAGTATTTGTTACCCTATAAAGTTAAGGTTTTTAGGTGGTACATAGGGAACTAAACACCTAGACTAAAATTAATTTGGCTGCTTAATTTTCATAAAATTTTAACAAAATATTTACTATTTCCCTTTGACAAAAATATAAAAATTAAAAATAAATTGAACCACACACTTTATCTGAAAAATTTCATTGTATATAGAGCAGTTTGACAATTTTGATCATTGAAAAGCTTAATATTTCCTTTACAGTAGAACGTGTTTAAATTGTTCAGCTGATTTTTACAGAGTTGTCTCCCTGTAGTGTTATGTAACACCTTAAGGTAGTTAACAATGATTTGGAGTCATTTTTAAATGTGTGCCTTATTAGGGTTATGACCAAATTTCTAGTTTCCGACACTGATCATGGGCTTTTGAAATTGTTCATGAGTGCTTGATACTAGGTACAGCAAATTTTTAGTCCCCTACCGACGAAGTCGAAGGAGACTTTAGGTTTGCACTCCGTCCGTCTGTCTGTCTGTCCATCCGTTAGTCCGGCAAATCAGTTTTCCACACTTTTTTTCTTCGTTCTTGAAGATATTGATTTAATATTTGGTATATAGTTTTATCATGACAAGTTATAGATCAAGTTCGAATTTTGTTCTGGTCTGATGATTTAGTCGAGATATTAATTACGATCCATTAAAAAAATCCATATCTAATGTTAGAGTACTATGTTAAACCATATTTCTGTACAAAGGGAGATAACTTATATTTTAAAAGACATTCTTTGGTAAATTGTTTGAAGAATTTTGTGCCAGGTTTGTTTGTTATTTTGTATAACTGTATAAACTAAATTTCTGAATGCTATATATATAATTTTTTTTTATTAAGTGAAATCCTTTATTCAGATAATAATCTATTTTTATTAAGGTATATATTTCATTACATTACATTGTGTAGATAAAAGATGTGACATTTTATAGATAAGTTACAAAACTATATATTAGTTTTTGACAAATGAAAGAAAAAAATATTTGGAACTATTCATTTCTACTCATAATTGTAAATACCTTGCAAATCTGTTAAGGCACACACTCTCAGTCTAAGCTATTTGAAACTTTGACCAATTTTGCTGTTATAATTAATGTTGCACTATGAAAACACTGCCCCTGGTGAGGTGGTAAGAACTCACAGACATCTTGATTAGCAGGAATAGTTACACATTTTGCTATTCTTGGTGCATTTTTTATTTTACCATATTTTTAAAGTGTTACGTTACTCTATTTTAGTCATAATTCATTTTATGTTCATAGGAATGTTCATTTAGTATATGAATGATTGTAACCAAAATTTCTAGGCACTATACATGTTGTATTGATGTCTGTTGACTTGAATTTTATTCAACTTATTTCAGCTCAAAAATTTAGGTGTTTTTACAAAAAAATATGATTATAATGATGATGAAGAACCAACAATTAAAACTCATAGTACATCATCTGATTCATCTGAGCCAAAAGATGCAGACGACATTGAACCATCTGTTCATGAAAAACCAGCCATTCTTAAAAGAGTTGGTCAAAAGGTTCTTGGACAGCATGGGGGAGATCTTTTACTACATCAGTCTTTATATAGACAAACTCTTGACGAAGAAAGAAGCATGAGATATATTCCTGGGATGATTGTTATTGGAACGGAGGTAAAATTAGACAAATGAAATTAAATGTTATATGTGTTAACTTAATGGATATGTAAATATGTAAAAGAAGATGTTGTATGATTGCCAATGAGACAACCCTTCGCAAGAGACAGAATGACACAGAAATTAACAGCTATAGGTCACCCTACAGCCTTCAACAATGAACAAAGCCCATACCGCATAGTCAGCTATAATGTACTATATATTTAAGTTCGTGTTTTAGTCAGTTAGGAGAAATCACAGTGATATTTGGAAGGCAGTTTAATTATATTAGAGTAGGAATATTTAATTTAATCAGAATTATTAAGCACCACCCTCAAAGTCATATTCAGACTTTAAACATTTGTAATTTTAAGAAGTTAAAAGTGTTGCCATTTGAATATAAATATTTTACCATAACAATTACACACAATTTGTTTGTGTGTCAGCAGTATATATTTTTTCAGTCAACCTTAAATTCTAATGCAACATTGTTTGTAACGTTCATTTTGATTGGATAAAGTCACCAATTTTCATGGCATTAATTCACAATTGATATTATGAAAATGTTCATGCATGTGCAGACTATGCATCACAGTTTTTAAATGTATAATTTAACTTTGTTTTCTGTCAATTTCATTAGAATGGAGATAACAATCATGACAATGTTCTTTTTTAGCTCTGAAGGCATCAATTGGTGATTTTACAGACTCGGCTTACCCTTCATCAGTTAACTAAATTTGCGAACATTAAATCACCAATTAAAGCAGTAGGAACTTAAAATACAATGTGCTATTGCAAGGATTTCAGATTTTGAAAACTGAAAATAACTTTGTCAAATCTTCATTAAGATATGGGAGATATTGATAGAATCTTTATCATTTTGAGATTTTATTTAATAAATGGACTAACATTAAATTATCAAAAAATTTATTAAACCATAATGCAATTTTAGAGGAATATCTCTATTTTTTTTCATTGTCTGTATTGTATATTGTATCATGATTTACTCTAAAAGATATGTTTATAGCAGAAAATATTACACTGTTTCATTAACGACAGCAAATGAGACAATACTTAGATAGGTGTATGCTTAATAATTTTTTGATTAGATTAGTCTAATTATTAAATGTAAGATGTAATGGCAACTTTTTGTTTGTAGATCACCTTCACTTTACTGGAGCTGCATGGCAAACATTTAGCAGAATTGAGAAGCAAAGATGGGAATATAAGACATAAAAGCATTATATATTATTCAAAACCTAGAGATTTGCTGAAGAAAGAAGATCGAGATATCCTGCTCAAATCTTTTGTAAGATTGAATAATAAGAAGTAACTAGGTCTTTGAAATGTACATAACAATTATGAAAAATACATATATTAAAAACAATTTATGAAAGGTTTATAAATTTTGTTAGCATAAGCTGTTGGGAATTTAATATTTTTTCTCGGACTCCTTTATGGTTTGTGGTTTAGGGGTAAAGTTTATCCTTGTCTATCTGTACATCCGTCTGTACGTTCCAAAATTAGTTCTCCTCACTTTAGTTTGCCTCAAACAAATGTTATTTAACTAATACACAATGCTTATTACCACCAATAACAGATCAAGTTCAAATTTGGGTGGCGTCACATTCACTATTCTACAGTTATGTCCCTTTGTTAATTGAAAAATTGCAGACTTTGCTAAATATTTTTAAGTGGGGGCATCTGTGTCCACATGGATACATTCTTCATTTATTTGGTCACCTGTTTCCCAATTTATATTTTGTAATTTTTACTGTTTCAACATATTGATGTTACAATTTAAAAAATTATTTTGAATCCATGTTACTAAAAATAGTAACATCAAGTTGATATCAATTAAAAAAAATAGTAACATCCAGTCAATATCATTATCAAACTTACACTTTTTACATATGTTATATATATATATATATACAGATATAGATTAAGGACTTTCACTCAGTCAATACATGATATACTGACCTGTTAGATTATATTGAAATTGGACTTCATACTCGGTCAATATAATCTGAACAGGTCCATATATATTGTATTGACCTTGTCAAATGTCCATAATGGATAGATATATATGAGCTGCGTCGGATAGAAATCGACCTTATACAAATAGATCAAAACATCTGTTTACCTATTTTAAATTGATTAAATCTATACGGAAAGTCTGTAACTGTTTGAAAATTGAGTTGTTATATAAGGGCTATTCCATTAAAATGAATGTGGGAGGGTAGGAAGGGACTTTCAAAATATCCCTACAACCAAGAACCATTTTTTAGATAATTTTGCATAATGGTGATAGACGCATACTGAAAAAAGACCCATGACCCTCTTTCAATAATTAAACTTCCCTTCCTACCCTCCCACATACATTTTAATGAAATAGCCCTAAGAACCCTACAAAACAGACCAAAATTCATCTTTTATTTCGTATTTCAATGTTCCAAAATTAATCAAAGACTTATATATGTACATGTATACATGCACTTGCATAAGGTCGATTTCTATCCAACGCAGCTCATATGTAGTATACCAAACCTCTTAAGTCTAATTGTCCTATTTTTTGGAAAATTCCTGAAATGGGTATGATATTATGTTCCATTGTGATATTTGTATTACTTTAAATAAATCTTTACGATAATTGTACATTGTAAATTTCTTTAATAAATATGCTTACACATTGAAGAAACATTGTATTTTGTATTATGTTTACACTCCAAACTCAAATTATTATCTGAAAATAATGTTTTTTGTTAAAACATCCTTCAAATTATACTATTTGTAATAAAATAAAGTAATTTTAATTAGATATGTCTGTATAAAATAAGGAGATCTGATATGATTGCCAGTGAGACAAATATCCACGGCAGACCAAATGACATAGATTTTAGCAACTTTAGGTTCCTGTATTACCTTCAACAATGAGCAAAACCCATACCCCATAGTCAACTATAAAAGGCCCCGAAATGACAAATGTAAAAAATTCAAACCAGAAAACTAAAGGCCTGATTTATGAACAAAATAATGAACAAAAAACAAATATGATATACAGCAACAAATGATAACCACTGAATTACAGGCTCCTGACTTGAGACAGGCACATACAGAATGTGGTGGGGTTATTGTCCATATATAATAAGGAAATGTGGTATGATCGCAATGAGAAAATATAAACATAGTGGAATTAACTTCTTTTGGAGTGTAAAAAATTATTTGGATGTTTTAGATAATTTACGTGCCTTTGATGGTCCTTTTGATTCTGTTGACAGTTTTGACTTCATAGTTTTCAACTCTTTATACTACACTTCCACACAATCTTAGCAAACAAAAGTTTTCCTGTTTAATCAAATGGTTGTTTGGTAAATTTATATGCAAATATATTTGCTGCAACTCATTTAATGCCTTCTTCTTTACTGAGAAAGGTAAATATGCTAGATAAAAAATATGCACCAGAGACCAAAATACATAGATTTTAGCAACTTAAGTTTACTGCACAACCTTCAACAATGAATAGTTACATTACATGTATGTTCATTACAATTCGTAATTTTGATTGGCTGACATAAATGGTGAGGCACTCCAATATCAAATATTATTTCTATATAAATAACAACTATGACTTCACATACTATCTGTGACAATGTTGAAACAAAAGAAAAGCTTGATATAACTTAATTTCATGATTGAAGCATAAACATTTTATTTTAATAATTAAATGGTTCAAATTTATGATTTTATAGGGTTGTAAAAGCATTGGTTGTGCACATATTTTATAATGAAGTGTTTCGTACAAAATGTGCTTCATTCACAGCTTTTACACCCCCAATGAAATTATAAAAAGAAGCATTCAATTCTGAAGTGAAACCCATACTGCATAGCAAGCTATAAACATGGTAAAAGGCCTTGACATAACAAAATATAAAACAATTCAAATGAAAAAAAACTGACAGCCTAATTTATGTACAAAACAATGCCACAGGATTGTTGGGTGTACATGCTTATCTCTTTTATGTTTTATTGGTCAATTTAAATTTTTCATGGTAGAGTTTATTTCTCATGTATTATAAGCATGTCAATTATAGTTGGAATATGGAATGATTGTATCGTTTACATGTCTGTCTGCCAGGGTTAATCTGAACTTTACCTCATTTTTATTTTTTGAAGGTCAAATTTATTTGGTTAGTGACTTGATTGAAAGGTGTACATGGCTTTCTGACGGTTAATCTGGTATTGAACATGTTTACATTGATCATTGATAATGTTAATTGTATATAACACTTGATAAAACAATATTCAAATATCTAATTACAGTGTTTAATTGGTAACCTTTTTGGAATAATCTTATTTAAAGGGGCATTTGCTGTCAAATTCATGTTCACCAATTGGTCTCATATTCTGATATTTAATTTCTAACATACTAAAACGTATATCCAAATTATAAAAAGTATGAAATAAACAATTTACAATGCATGGGCTCGATAATTTGTATCACCATTTCGTGTGTATTTAAGTATAGACACCATCTAATTAAGTATAGAGGTGACCTCCGAAGACTTCCGACAGTCATATAACCTGATATAAACATAAATATAGATATAAATAGGTGGCGAACACGTGCAATTGGATTTTTCTAGGTCTGTTTGATTTCATATTATAGGTTAAAAATATATGTTAATCATCGTATTTACCTGTATAAGAATGAGTTTTTTGTGGGTGGAATCAGTCAATCAAATGGTTTACCCTTGTTTCACTTTTAATATTGACATTCTTTTCCTTTTAATAACCGTACACGCCTAATTCATGTCTAACCCATCTCTTACTCAGGGGTTAAATTGAAGGTCACATGAATACGGATTCAATGAGGTCCAATAATTCACTCATAAATGAATAATTCATCAGCGATGTTTGTTAGCTTATTTTGACAAAATTGAACTAAATTTGCTGCTAAAAGTGAATTATTAGTTCACTGTTTCACTTTCTTTAATGATTAAACAAACACATCGTATTTTTTTATATATATACATCGTAGCTGACACCCCTTTAAATTACCTATATTCTTTGTTGCGTACTATTTGAACATAAAGACGGATAGAAATCTTAAATACTTGATTGAAATGAAAGCATTATAGATAAAGGCACCAGTAATATACCACTGTTCAAAAGTCATAAATCTTTTAAGCAAAAAACAAAACCGAGTAACAAAATAAAACCGAGAATAGACTAAACTACACGTATCTTTTGAATGATTTTTAATAAACGTTTCAGAAAGATGATACAAATCATGGAAAATAAAATATTTTTTGAATGTACATTTATGATCATATATTATGTAATCACTTTAGGAACTATCTAACTAAAAGATACATACATTTTCTGTAATTACTCATGCACCGTCAAATGCAAAGAGAACAATTTCGTCAGCTTACTTTGCATATATTCATATAAAACAAATGAGGTACACGTATGCTTGCTAATGAGACAACTATGCATAAAAAACCAAATATGTGAACAATTACAGGTCCCTGTACTGCCTTCAACAATTACGAAAAGTAATATCGTTTACTTAGCTATTAATGTGACTCGTATGACAAAGTGTGAAGCACTTCAAAAGAGGAAATCAACTAATGCTACCACAACGACAGCTAATGAGCGAAAAAACAAATATGACACACAGCAAACAATGATAAACACTGAATTTCCTGTTAATGAATAAAGAAATCTTATAAACTAAAGTTCTAACCTCATGCAAAGATGACTTTAGATTAATTTGGTGTTTTTTCAGGTTTTCTTAGTCGATACCAATGCAGGTAGACTGATGGTCTCCGAGAATATTATATTCTTAGTCGCCAGAGTTTCGACAATAACATCATTTACGACATACATGTCGAAAATCCTTCGCTGATAAGTTTAAAAATATATAGAAAAAAGGACCCAACTCCCTCAGGCATAACCTTATGGTTATTGTTTTATATATAAAATTCATGATGTTTCTAAGGTTTTTTAGACCCTTAGCTTTCCAATGTTTAGGCTTGATCATTCTCATAAGAGAGACATCAAGGAAAGTGCTTCATATGCACGAAATTTATTTTGATCTTGCCAAAAATATATAGAAAAGAAGGTTTCAACTCCCTCAGGCATGGTTATTCTTTTATGTATATTATCTTCAATGATTCTAAGATTTTTTTTAGACCCTTGGTTTTCCAATATTTAGATTTGAGCATAAATCCACAAAACACAGAAAGAGATTTTGATTAGGGATTACAAGGTTGAGGTTTCAATATCTATAAGCACTGCTTAACTTTCCCACTTTAACACAGGGAAACAATAACAAAAAGATCGCGTATGCAAATCACTTAAGAAAACTTGTTTGTGCTGGTTCAACGTATTGACGGAAATAGCTGATTATTGGATACCTAAGACTAAAATTTTCGTAACCCCAATCCCGTCCTCTTATCTACTGTGAAGCTACGAAATGAAATCAATCAAAGATTTTGATTTTAACATGATTAACAGGAGACAGGTGTCATTAATTGATCAGGAACTGCCTATCCTTCCGGAGCAAATGAAATCATCCCAAATTATGGTTGTGCTCCTGTTATCAATTTTTTAGTTTTCTATGTAGTGTTTGTTGTTTGTTTGTCATCCTATTTCGTTATCTATCACAGCGTTGAAAGTTTATCTCCGCTTATGAGTTTTGAATGTTTCCCTGTCATGTTTCGCCTCTTTTTTTAACATTTCCAAGTCAGGAATATGGCAATGGTTTTACTTGTTCAATGGATTGATAACGTTTAATTTTGTCAGATTTTATGGACTTCCCCTTTATGAATTTGCCTTGGAGTGTTAAGTATTTTTGTTTTGTTTTTTTTATATCTAAAACGAGACATTGAACCTATTTATATATATTTACTGTGGTAGGCCTTCAATAAATTAATGTTGTCAGGGTTGAATAAAACAACATACATAATCAATGAGTTGGCATTTAATATTACTTTTACATAATATCTTATTTACATAACGTACAGTTTAATTACAACTTAGTTACAAAAGGTATCTTCAGACATTGAAAAAGAAAAATACGAATAGTTATTATTGACCGCTTTGATTCTATACAAAGTAGCGTGTATGCAAATATGAGACAATTGAGCCATGCTTTAAATTACGCATTATGAAAGCAGAATATGACTAATAACAGTATACAAGATTAACAGATGATATTGATTTTCGAAAGTTTTTGAATGGCTAGCTTATTGATGTTAACGTCACAACCGAGTTTGATTCATGTCATTCTATTATATGATTATCAAATAAGATGATAAAAATAACACTTTTGTATTATTAACATGTATAAATATGGTTATGAGCTCTCGAAATGTTTCAAGTGACGGTGTAATGTAAGATAATCGAATAACCGATTCATATATAGATAAGAAGATGAGGTATGAGTGCTAATGAGACAACTCTCCATCCAAGTCACAATTTGTAAAAGTGAACCATTATAGGTCAAAGTACGGCCTTCAACACGGAGCCTTGGCTAAGACCTAACAGCAAGCTATTAAGGGTCCAAAAATGACTAGTGTAAAACCATTCAAACAGGAAAACCAACCGTCTAATCTATATAGAAAATGAGAAACGAGAAACACTT